ACCCGCCTGTTATATATATATATATATTCACACTTTCCTACTTTACACACATTACTACGGTGCGATTTATTTGACCCTATCATCATTGTTTTACAGATCCCGAGTACAGGGGTGAGCTTCGCTACGTGGATATGGCCCAAGTCTTTGTCAAGGACATTTGGCGTTCTATGTAAGAAATTGAATAAGGGAAGGAGAGAATAAGAAAAGAAGACGAAGAAGAAAGGGAGGAGGAGGAGGAGGAGGAGGAGGAGGATCAAAAGTTGTGCTTCAGGCGAGATCAACTGACTGAATCGTTGCAACGAACACTTAAGAGCGATATAACAGCTCACCAGCTCTACAGAAACTGGCTTCTTTCTGGCGAGATCTAGGACACGTGACATCATTTGTTCGCCTTGTTCGCCAGTCAGTACTCCATTTTCTCTCGGAGTGTCTAATGAAATGAAGGTTTCCTTCATTCTCCGTTATCGCCTACAAGCGCCACGACTACAGGTAACATATAGAGTAATGATAAACGCATTGCGCATGTGATGCTATAAATAATACTGTTATTAAATACAGCTCAGTGATAAATGTGCTTTATATAAAAGTAATTAAGTTCTTTGAAATACAGGCGAATGGGCCGTCTGTGTTCGCTTCAGTACAGTTCTCATTCAAATCCGTCAACCTCAAGCAGGCGTGAGGTGTGCGTATCTTCCACGCTGTTTCCTTCAGTTAATTTTAAAATAAATTACGTAATGTACGGGGAATCCATCGACCCATCCACTCACCCTCCTGATTTTGATTTTTTCAAGGACATTTGACGTTCTATGTAAGAAGACGAAGAAGGGGAGGAGGACGAGGAGGAAGGAGAAGAAGAAGACTAAAACGAATAACAACATGGAGGAGAAAGACGAGGAGGAGGAAAACTGTCAGCAAGCGAGATCAACTGACTGAATCGTTGTAACGAACACTTAAGAGCGATATAACAGCTCACCAGTTGTACAGATCAGCAGATCGGGTGGAGGAGCTTGGAAGACTATAGATATTACAACTGTAGCCTCACTATGTAAAAGATGATAGTAAATCTCCAGAGAGAATTCCGACAGTGATATGTTACGTTATGTTCCGATACTTATGTCGAGTTGAGCTGCTCTACTTGGGATATAATGACAAGGTATTGTGTAAACTTCTTTGTGGCTGTCATCGCAACAAATTATCTCTACAGATCTCGGCAGATAACATGCGTGATAACGTGTTCAAATTCTCCTCCCGTTTATTATTACGGTCCGGGGTAGTCTGTCTGTGGGTGACGTAGAAAAAACTAAACGTAGTGCAGTATAACGCAAATAGTTTATCACATCAT